GTGTAGTGGTTAGGGTGCTGGACTCCCACATGGTCGACCACAGTTCAAGTCCTGGACCTGGCAACGTGCTTTCTCACTTTCCTTTTTTCTCTCTGTCTCTTTCTGGTCAAATTGAAAAATAAATAACATCAAATAAAAAAGTAAGTAAATGATTCTTTTTTTTTAAAAAAAGGAAAAAGTTAAAAAGAAAAATGAATATAGATTAGCAAAGACAAAAATAAAAATCACCCATAAATCCACCAATACTAGATAACCGTGGATGACATGATGTGAGAGACCATTCTTACCTTTGTAAGATGTCTCCACAGTTGTTGTGTATACATTCTTTTCATATTTCTTCAAACGGTCTTCTAAATTGTGAATCTAAAAAAGAATTCAAACCATATTAAAAGATTCACATAGAAATCATAGATAAGAAAAAAACTATGGTAGCCAGTAATTTTTTTTTTTTAATACTGAAGACAGTATACTGGCAAATAAAAGGTTTCTTAGATATATACCAAAAACACAGACAAGTGAAAAACTATATAAATTGGACTTTCTTAAAATAAGGAGCTTTAATACATCAAAAGTTACTATAAATAAAATGAAAAGACAACTTACAAAATGGAAGAAAATATTTGCAAACCATATATATGCTAAGAGACTTATATCAAGAATATAGAGTATTTACAACTCAACAACATCAACAAAAATATAAACTAAAAAATGGGGAAAAGGTTTGAATAGACATTGCTCCAGAGAAGATATACAAATGGCTATCAAACAGATGCAAAAAATGCTTAACATCAACAGCCATAGATAAATACAAATTCAATTTATAATCAGATACCACCTTCATACAGATTTAGAACAGTCACAATAAAAAATTTGTTGGCAAGGATGGAGAGAAACAGGGGTCCTTATACTTTGTAGATGGTAATGGAACGGTGCAGTTGGTATAGAAAAGAGTTTGACAGGTCCCCAAAAAGGTAAACATGGAATTATAGTATAATCAAGCAAGTCTACCCCAGGGTTATATACCCCAAAAATTTGAAGAAGATATTCAAACAAAAACTATTAAACAAACATTCAACAGTAGCACTATTTGCTATAACCAAAAGATGGAAACAACTTAGATGTCAGTCAACTGATGAAAGAATAAACAAAATTGGTATATTCATTCAATGGGATATTTAGCTATCCAAAGAATGTAGCATGCTACAACATGAACAAATCTTGAAACAATATGCTAAGTGAAAGAAGTCAAGACATAAAAGGTCAGGTATTATGTGATTCCATTTATCAGAAATGATGAGGACATGTAAATCTACAGACAGAAAGCATATTAATGGTCGTCAGGGGTTGGGAAGAGGAGGTAACAGGAATGACTGATTGATCCAATGAGGTATGAAATTTCCTTTCGGGGTGATGAAATGTTGTGGAAATAGACAACAGCGATGATTTCACAACGTTGTGAATGAACTAAATTTCAAGGAGTTGTGTGCTTTAAAATGATAGAATTGGTCAGGCCAGCCAAGTGGCACGGTGGTTAAGGTGGTTGGATCCCAAAGACTGTACACTTGGTTCAAATCCCAGACCTGGTGGCTAGAAAAATGCAGGGTTGTGTGTGTGCGTAACCAAAATTCTGAGACGAAAATGGGTTGTAGCTGTTGCTACCCTCCTGGGGGTGATATCTCACTTTCTATCTCTCTCTCTATGCTGAGCACTTGTGCCCTCTAGCAAAAAACTAAAAATAAATAAATAAATGAAAGATTATTATTATTATTATTTTCGCTATAGGGTATGTGGGAGACAGAGAGACAGAAAGCAATGGGACCAGCAGTTAGTGGAATGGCTTTGTCGCTGGACTACCACGTAGTCGACTGCAGTTCGCGTCCCGGACCCGGTGGCTTAAAACTCACACCAGGTGCATGTGCGTGCGTGCCCACGACACCGAGAGGAGAATGGAGGAGAAGGGATTGCGGCGTGGCCATCTCCCCTGGAGGGTGATTTCTCGCTTTCTGTCTCTCTCTGTCTGGCGAGCGCATGCACCCTATAGCAAAAACCTCTCTATAAAAAATAAATAAATAAAAGACGTTTAAAGCAATAATCTTTTTTTTTTTTTTTAATTGGAGAGGTTTTTGCCATAGGGTGTGTGCGCTCCCAGAAAGACAGAAAGACAAAGAGAGACAGAAAGTGAAAAATCACCCCCCAAGGGGGATGGTCACGCACAATCCCTGGAGATTTAGCCTTCAAGCTTGACCTGCTAACTTGATCCTCTAAGTTGTTATAAATTATATGAACACAAATTGTTACTTAAAATGTTAAGCACCAGAAATAACAGAATACAAAATGGTCTCTAAATATAAGTGACCATGGGAGCCAGCAAGTGGTGTAGTGGTTAAGGTGCTGGACTCCCACATGGCTGACACAGTTTGAATCCTAGACCTGGCGGCTTAAAACTCACACCACGTGTATGGGGGTGCATGCCCAAAATCCCAAGGGAAGAATGGAGGAAAAGGGTTTGTGGTGTGGCCACCCCCTTCAGGGGTGATTTCTCACTTTCCCTCTCACTATCTCTGTTTCTCTAACAGTGCACTCACCCTACGGCATACAACTTAAAATAAATAAATAATTTGGGAAAAAATTTTAAGTGTGATAATGAATTTACAGAGAGAGCCTCTAGCACCTTTGGTTTCTGAACTAAAATTTCCTAAGTAAGATAAAAGAATTTCAAAGCCAACTACTATTGGATCCTCAGAAAACTCATGACACATTTTTGCACAGAAAAACATGGGAAAAAAATACATCATGACTTTCCCAACAACCCAACAAATCAGGATTAAATCAATGATTTTTAAAAAATTATCTATATGAGACCCAAGTCTATACTAACATAAATTCGGTTAGTTCAAAATCAAGGGCACCAATTAGGTCTGTACCTGTTCTCTGAACTCCTGCTCTTTCAACTTTGAATCACTGATGAGAGTGGTCTTCTGTGCTAGCTGTGACTGAAAGAACAAAAAAATCAGGTCTGAAATGCACGAATTTAATATCTGCCTAGACACAGTTCTATACTGCTTGGACATTTTTTCCTTGTTAGTACGGTTCCTGTATATAACACAGAATATTCCTAAAATAGTCCACCTTCAGGCAAATTCAATGAAAATCTAGTCTTACCTGCAGCTCCATAATTGTTAACTGAAAATGGAAAAGAAAAAAAAAATGAATGTACACAATAAAATCTATAAAGAAACAATAAAACAATGCCTCAGTGAAATTACAAGGAAATAAGAAACCAGTGTTAGACTGGAGATAAGGTAACTGTATTTGCTTTATACCTGCTCTATTCTGTTATGTAAAATATTATAGTCTAAATACATGCAAACATAAGTAACACAAAGAAAAAGGATTGGAAAGTTACTCACCACACTTCTAATAATTATCACTACTTAGGAAAGGGAGGTGCCCACCAAGGAGGACATTCTTCCTATATTTTTCTTTTTAAGAATGATTCACCTAATTTTATTTATCATTATTATTCCTCAATTTGAACAGAGAAAGAAAAAGCAAAATGCCAGGCCCAGAACTGGAATTGTAGTCAACCCATATGGGAGTCCAGAGCCCCAACCACCATGCCACCTGCCAGTCCCAAGGGCTTTATTCTTTATACATCTTACAATGAGAATGTTTGTGTTATTTGTATAATCTTTCTCTTTTTTTTAAAGAATTATTTTATTTTAACATAATTTGTTTATTTATTTGGGATAGTGTATGTGTGTCAGGGGCGGTGAGGAAGCAAGGTGCCAGGTCCAGGACTCGAATCACAGTCAGCCATGTGGGAGTCCAGCGCCCTTAACCACCATGCCACCAGCCAGCCCGTAATTGTTCAAAGTTAAACATAGATATATATATATTTTGAGAGGTTTTCACTAAAGGGCGCGTGTGCTCACCAGACAGACAGAGACAGAGAGACAGAAAGCGAGAAATCAGCCCCCAGGGGGGATGGGGATGGCCACACCGCAGTCCCTTCTCCTCCATTCTCCTCTCAGGATCTTGGGCACACACGCACACGTGCCTGGTGTGAATTTTAAGCCACCGGGTCCGGGACGCGAACTGCGGTTGACTACGTGGGAGTCCAACGACACAGCCATTACGCTAACTGCTGGTCTCCAAAGTTAAACATATTAAAATCTATTTAATACATACAGGCCAATTAGGGAAATTTCTAAGTACTATTTCTGGGAATTTACTCTGAGTTATAATCACTAATTATTTTTCATGGAACTCAGTATCGGTAAGGGAAGACTCTTTCTCGAAAGGTCTTCTTAGGATTAAATGAGATAAATATATATATTAGTAGGTGAGTCAAATCATGGAAATTAGTGTTTTCAAGAAACGCAAATTCCTCTCACATTATCACTGCCAGAATTCTCCTCCTGCTGTAGCTTTTGCTGATATTTCTTCTGTAATTCCTCAAGTTGAGTTTGTAGATCTATTACTTTGGCTGTCATTTCTTCTTCACGAGCCTTTAGGATTAAAAAAGAAATGAATTAATAAACGTATCAAAAGAGCACTCTATAGACAAAAACATGGTATAGAGAAAACGGCAGCTGTAGAGGAAAGAGGCACTAAAGCGTGTAAGACACACACTATTGTTTTTATTTCAATTGCTGTGCCCTAAACACTTTCCTTCATGCCCCATTTTTCACACCCTTTTCCCCACCCTCATTCACTCTGTCCTCACCCCACAAAGTTCACTGAGCTGTTTCCCCTCAAACAAGGATTCTCAGGTCCAAGCAACAATCAGGGATATAGCGGGTGACAGAACTACAGTACAGATCTTGTGTTTTAAGACATAGCTTTTTCTACAGTGGGATTTGATTACCAGAAATAGTCATTAAAATAAACCAGGAGATATATGTATTTTTTCTTTTGGAGAGGTTTTTGCTAAAGGGTGCTTGTGCTTACCAGAGAGACAGAGAGACAGAAAGTGAAAAATCACCTCCCCAGGGGGATGGCCACGCTGTAATCCCTTGGGCATGCACACACATGCACTTGGCTTGAGTTTAAGCCACCGGGTCCGGGACTTGAACTGCAGTTGACTACATGGGAGTCCAGCGACATAGCCATTACGCCATCTGCTGGTCCCAAACCAGTAGATATTTTTACACACTGCACTGCCCAACCAAAGGCCAACTCAGTGATCATAAGAAGTTGTAGAATATTTTTGTTTTTTGTTTTCCACCTCCTTTAGACAGGTTGTATAAGCTAACAGATGGGCCTTTAGTCTAGTTCAACAAATCTGTCCCCAAATCATACCAGCAATTCTCTATGTGTAGGTAATATGTTTAACTAAAATATATTTTTGAAAAAGTAAGTTAGTTACTATCCAATGTGTTGGTAAACCACAAAATGGATCTATGTGCCATAATTTTGAGGAAAAAAAAAATGAAAACAGACAGACAAGGCTGAATTAATAAAAATAGTATGTGACATATTGGTCCAGTGATCCTACTTTGAAATTCTGGTATACAGGGACTTATAGGTGGCATGGTGGTTAAAGGTACTGGCCTCCCACATGGCTAACTGTGGTTCAAGTCCCGAACCTGGTGGCTTGCTTTCTTACTTTCTCTCTGTCTGTCTCTCTCTGATCAAACTGGAAAAATAGTACTAATAACTAAAGTTAAATAAAATAATTCTTTAATTTTTTTTTTTTTTTTGCATATAAACCATCCTCTCTTCTGCTTGAACTATCCTGGTAGGAGGTTGTTGCCCATCCTTACGTTCACCCTGACATACAGCTGTCTTGGTACTTGCCATGATTTATTATAAAAGCAACCCAAATCACTCCTCATTCATAAATCTTGCAATAACCTTTGTGCTAAAGGAACATTTGGAATTGGAATATTGATCTGATTTGAGTAATGAAGACACGTCTTTGTTGAGTAAGAGACTAAACAGGAAAAGAACCACAAACAGGTATCTGATTTAAGAGATGCTGACTTGCCAGAAATAAGAAACATCATTCTCAAAAAGAAAAGCAGGTCCCGTGGCACAAAATAAAGCAACGGACCATAGGACACCTGGAAAATGTAATTTAAGTGCCATTGGTCATGAAACTACTTAGACTACAAAAACAAACAAACAAATTAAAACAAAACAGAAAAGAACCTCTTTCAACAGAGAAAGTTCTAGTAACCGGCTTCCCTAGGTACCTACCCACTGAGGCACCCAATAAACTGGCCTCCAACCCTAAACACCACCAGAAACTGTTGGAATTACATTACCCGAGGCCCTCGCTCCTGGCTTTTTATTCTACTGTGGCGTATCTGGTGTGGCTGGCTGTGTCAGCATGTCAGAAAGAATCGCCTCCGTGACTATTTACTCGGGCCCAGATCTGACATGACAACCTGCTGTGTGAACTTTGCTTCGACAGCTATGGGATAGCGATCTAATGCTAGCCCTCTAAGAATCAGAAAGCAATCCTTGATGGGTTACTTTTAAGAGACGGTTATGTAATTTCCTTTGTAAAAGTTCTCTAGTCTTTCTTGTTTTGCTTGCTTTATTTGTCTACTCTTTTTTTAAAGTGTTGCTCGGAAGCAAAAACAGTAAGAAAAATTAAATATTCATGTATATATATGGATATTATGCTTCAGAGACTACATGTTGAAATGTTATCATTTGGCTATACTGGGCTAGTTAAAATACATATTATTAAAATTAAGGGGCCTTACATTGCTGGACTCTCATGTAGTAGTTCAAGTCTGGGACCCGGCAGCTTAGAAAAACTCAGGGCAGGTGCACGTGCATGCGTGCCCCAAATCCCAAGAGGAAAATGGAGGAGAAGGGACCGTGGTGTGGCCATCCACACTGGGAGGTGATTTCTTGTTTTCTGTCTCTCTGGAAAACATTGCACCCTATAGCACAAATCTCTTCATTTAAAAAAATATATCTATTAAGGGGCCAGCCCTTAGCCTGGGGGTTAATGTGGCTGCATCACACATAGCCTACTGCGAGGTTAGAGTCCCAGACCCAGGGGCTTGAGAAACATGCTAGACACATGTGCATGGATGCCTAAAATCTTGAAAGGAGGGAGAAACAAAGAAGGGATTTGGGCTGCGGTATGACCATCCCCTGGGGGTGAGGGTATGCTTTCTCACTTTCTTCCCTCTCTCCTCACCCTCCAGTGAGCACAGGTGCCTTCTGGCAAAACTTAAAAAATAAATAAGTTCACCTGTTTGTTTTTCTTTTCTTGTCCTTTACGAGAGGAGAGAGGGGGAGAACAGGAGAGAGACTGAGACAGGTATTTTTGACAAGGTCACAGTCCTCCTGCCCAAGTCCCCCAATTAACTATGATCGTCTTGCCTCGGCCTTCTGAGAAGCTGAGTACAAGCACATGCTACTGCGCCCAGCTCTTTTCAGGATGAGCTAGGCCTCCCGGGAGGCCGGCCTGCAGAGTAGCGGTGTCTCACGAGTGTATAACGCCACAGGTGTGCCTTGAGTTGTATTTCCGATGGCGTTGCTACTCTAAGGCACAGGAAGGACTTGGGGAGAATCCCACACTCCCTTGTCCACAGTCTACTTCCTGCCCACCTGCCCTACTATTCCAAGCCTGAAGCTTAGAGGACCATTTCCTTAATTTCCATAACACTCAGCAGATTTTCAAGGAGGAACGAACCACAGTTACCTGTCTTCCTGTTCCCTCTACCTACACAGTTTAGTCATGACCCTCAGAAAATTTACCATCTGCTACCCGGCACACCGAGAGACAGAGACGCAGTTCACAAAAGGGAACACGGGAGCAGCACACTTTACCCTGCAAGTGAAGCTCCCTGCCTTACTGACCTACAACACAGAACTGCGGCCTTCTCCAAGTCCCTGTCTTAGGGAGAAGTCTTTACCAAATACGTGATGCTAGCGAAGAATCACTGCCCTACCACGATGTGGCTGGAGGGGAATCACTCAACTAGGCTG